GTGTATTTTATGTGCATAGTAAAGCTGGGAGTTTGTAACAGAGGACCCAGCAGATACAATAAGGTTGGCTTACATGGAGCTCACATTACATCAGTGCATTGAGCTAGCAGGGTCTGGCTTTTTCACTCTTATGCAGGTAAACTTGCTTTATGACCAACTAAAAGCTAAGCTGTAATAACTGTTAGTTTCTCTGATGATGGTATAGCATTTTATCATGAAGGTGATCACACAGAACAGCTTTGTATTGATGTGCAGTGTCCCTTATAGCAGTGGTCCCCAACCCCTGGGCCATGGACCGGTACCGGTCCATAATTCGTTTGGTACCATGAGTTGAGGATCGAGTGGGAAATGTATGGTTTTCAGGGTGTTTTACCGTTTTTATCGTTATTTTGTTATAGTTTTTATCGTTAACTCAGTTCCCTGGGTCTTTTCCCGTGTGTTATGAATAAATCTTCTTCTTTTTTGGTACTGGTTTTATTTTGTTGTATTTATCCACGACACCTTAAAGGCCGGTTTGTGAAAATATTGTCAGACATAAACGGGTCTGTGGTCCAAAAAAGATTGGGGACCGCTGCCTTATAGTTAAGAGGACAAATGGACCCAAAATGCACAACTCCCACAACACATCAACACAAGGGTCAAAGGGTCAATTTGTAACCAGTCTGTGTATTCATTAATTCATGCTAGGAAAAAAGAGAAAGCAGACTTCCCTTTAATGATATTCTATATTGCTCTACTTGTGTAATTACTTTACCACTGAAAATAATTCCTAACGAACTACATTTCCTCCTGTGAGTAAAGTTTAACAACTACGATACCCAGGTGTTTCAGGAAAACACTGAGCCTTTTTCTTTTAGATCACGCTGTAGAATAGACACACTCATCAGTGGGATGTGTTTTTGTAGCAAAACAAGTCACATTTAAATGCAGCTGCATTTTACATTTCTTTCAAATACAACACAAAAAACGGCTTCGAGAGAACTACAGTGTTAGTCACATCAGTTAAGCCCACGCTATCATCAGAAACACAGACCTACCTGGTTGGACGCAGCAGCGCTGCAGCGATGCTGAGCCAGCTCTAACATGGTTCTGTAGCTCTTGCAGCAAGAGGGACAGTCAAAGCGGTTGGGCCCATCGTCGTGGATCCTCTGATGGTTACGGAGGTACCGGGCCAGGCGAAAGGCCTTCCCACACAGGTCGCACATGTAGCGCTTCTGACCGTGGATTCGCATGTGGTTGCGCAAGGACATGTAGTTGGTGTAGGGCTTACTGCAAAAGTCGCACCTGGGTTTTGGAGTTGAAAATGGCGTGAACATTAGTAACAAGGAAAGGAGTAGAATGTTTCATGCATTTACGCAAACGAGCCTCACGTCCCAACCTGAAGTCTCCGGTCTTGTGGGTGAGTTTGTGGTTCAGCAGGGAGCTGGCGTGTTTGTAGGCGCAGCTGCACAGGTCGCAGACGTACGGCCTCTCGTCTGATTCCATGTCGTCTGACACTGTTGTTGCTGGTGGCGGCGCCGGTGCTGGTGCTTGGGACTCCATAGAGAGCCTGGAGCTGGAGAGCGACGCTGAGGAAAGGCTGGAGCTGGAGAGCGATGCTGAGGAGAGGCTGGAGGTGGAGAGGGCTGCTGAGGATGAAGGAAGCTGATCGCACCAGCTGATCGTTGAACTTGGCTGTGACGGTAACGTTAAAGGAAATGTTAACACTAACTACATTCATACATTAAAGAAGAATGAGCAAAAATTCCTCAACAGCAACGCAAAAGACTCATCGATAAGTGCAAACACTTGATTGCAGTCACTGCTACCAAGGCGCAACCATTGACTGTGAATTACTTTCTTATACAGGGCGAGGTTTTCTTCCCTTAAATGAATTCATCATGCAAAAAATTCAATCATAACACTTGTTCATAGCACTGGATATTCTTGATATTTAATTCAGCATTGACCTCCTCTCTCTTTCTGACCACTTGAAACACCTGACAAACCTGCACATGCAGCTGCCTGGTGTGATATGTGGATATCTGGGATGATAGACAGTTCTGAGACACAGCTTTACACAAGAAAATTGCTAGAACACAATTCCAGCCAATCAGAGCCCAGATCTGACATAGCTTCAGTACCTAGTGGGAACATCTAAACACTTCAAATAAAGGGCACAGCCCTTCTTAAAAATTTATTACTATGTATTAAACTTAAGCAACATTTAATTATATTTGCATTAAATGACAGCTAACGACTCTTATTATGTATTTAATACATATAATTTTACTCTTTCACGCATACGTATCTTCACATAAGTTCAATCAGTATGTTGAGAGTAAATTCTGAAAATCTACTGCAGTACCACATGTAGAACTACACTGTGGGCCTAGAAACACTAGAATCAAACAGACACACAGATTCTGTGGAGACACTAACAACTCAAAATCCTCAGGTCATTCATTAGACTGACACCAAGCACAGAGCAGAATGGAGTAATTAGATAAATCAACGCTTGTGATGCTTTGACAGTTCAAACACAGGCCTAATATCAGCCTCTAATGTGTATCCCTAAATAAGATGTCATCTATCAATGGGAGTCTCTGTTTATCTGTTGTGCCACATCAAGTTTTCCTTGCCCCCTGCCACAAAGGGGGTAATTAAAGAAAAAAAAAAAAAACCCGCACACATTACAGCAGCAAAATGATGATTTTAATGCTCAGTATCACTATGATCATTCTTACAGCTAGTGCATCCCAAAGAAATTCACTACGTTAGTTGTAAGAGTCTGAGATGAACACCAGAACTGTCTGCTTGTGTGACAACTTGTTTTTTCACCCCCAGAGTGACTAAAACATCAGGACAAACACAGAAATGTAAACATTAAACTTCCATATTTGGCACTACATGTTTGAGATGCTACGTGACAACACACCAGCAAGCGTTTTATTGTTTTTACATATCAACTCCTAAGAAGCTTCTGTGGAAGAGTATACACTGTGAGACAAATATCATGCTGGTGTGTTCACTAAGGGAGAGAGGGAAGGAATACAGAGTGACACACCGCAGAACGACTTCCACAAGTCACAAATCACAACAGATGCCTTGGACCTAAAAGCTACGGGACGCTATGGGAGCTACAGTGAACTCAACGGTTCATACCCCGCAGGCCGTCCCACAGACTATTGTGTTTCGATTCTAAAGATTAAAGTGTGGTTGTGGTCGCTGATAATCTGTCGGAGACTGAATGAAGTGCAGTCCTCCGCGGGGCGTCTTCCGCTCCCGTTTCCTGCGAGGTAGCCAGCCGTGTTTACTTTGCGCTGCTCGCTAATATTGTAGGCCTGATACATGTAAAACTGGTTCCACTGCCCAGAAATGCACGCTTGTTTTGGTCTTACACCAAAGACAGGTTAACGTGTAGAAGTCTACACATTTAAACTGTTTTTCCAGTCTTGTCGTAATGTGCAAAGACTGCTGCTGGCTAAGCGTACTCGGCTTTGACTGAGACAGTGTTGTGAGAAGTTAGCTTAACCGCGGTGCTTCGCTGCTCCATCATTATTTTCCTAGCAGGTAGTCACTTGGTGTTTCTCTTTCCAAGACAGCAATGACAGCATGCATGGACATAAACGTCCAATTTCGCCAAACAGTTTGTGGAGTTGTAACAGAAACGAAATTCAAAAGGAACGAGTTATTAGCTACTTAGCTCTGCAGCTATGAGTCAAACTAGGCCGGAAACCGCTCAGCATGACGTTAGCCGAATGCTAACGAAGCTGCTCTGTGACACAGCCTGCAGCTTCAGCTCACCCACAGACACTCAACCAAAACCCACGTGTAACAGAGAGGCTGCGCTAAATGCTTAGCTGTAAAATTGTCGCTCCACTAGTTATTTGGTGCAGCTATTTCTACCCATGGTCGCTAGCTAACAGTGATGGCAGCTGCTGGCTTTCTTACTCCGGAGTCGTTGGGGTCCTTTTTCCAGAACAATTGAGAGCAGTGGCCGAAAGACTCTGTCGATGTAACATAGTTCACCCCGTTTCTATCTTGGAAGTCTCCATGTGTGCTGCTGGTATTTGTCCGAGCGTACATCGTCGGTTTTCAGATTTTCGACTATGTTTTATTTTTTTAAGCTGAAAAGAAACAGGGCCGCTTTGTCGGGATCTTCTTCCGAAAAGAAAAATATTGTTTCTGTGAAATGAGCGTTTTGGCGGCGGGTATATTGAAGCGTATGGAGCATTACTGCCGCCTCCTGGACCGGAGTATGACAGCGAAATGAACGCATAGACGCTAAATTTCAACCAAAGCTTCATATTTTCTTTGCAATGGTTTTAAGACTAAGCGAGCAGTTTATTTACACATCGGATGCTGACGAAAATCTTTACCATAATGCAGTGTGTGTAATTTTTTGAGAACGAAATGACCCAACAGCTGCCAAAACAATATCATCAACTTTTTGAGGACTGGTTTTATAATTACATGAGAAATAAGTGTTTCTTTGAATTTCTTTGAGTAATAAACATGACAGTATTTCATTTAACGTAATTAACTTATTTACTAAAACTAACAAAGCCACACTAAATTTTACCTTCGTATGTTAATGGTCCAAGTTACAGGCCTACAAGTAATTTCCAGTAATTTTGATCCCTCATAGTTTAAATAGGAAAACAGAACCCATTTAATATGTATACAATTTTTTAAGGGATTCTGCTATTGAAACTCCAACATAAATAAGACCAAATGATATTAATGCCCAAACTTGTTCAGAATAAATCCTGTTATTTAGATATGGTGACTTAGTTGCAGCTTTCACAGAGCTTAAATATGCTTACATGTGACCAGTTCCTGTATGTAAAAATGAGTGCTAAAAAGAAAAAGAATACCCAAAAGGAATCAAATTTCAACGCTGTAACGTGGGACAAACACCCAGTTAATAATTCACATGACTTCATTAAACATATTAAAGTGACTGTATGTATGTCCCAACTGAGGTTGGACAGAATTCCTATCATTCTGTGTACAACATTTTATTTTTATTTTATTTTTTTTGTTTCACACATGGTACAGCAGTAATGCATTCCCATACACAACCTTCCTTTCAATTAAAGTAACACTGTTTGCATGAAAAGGAGCAGGAAGAAGAATAAATTCTTATTGATACCTGCCCCCTATCTGTGATAACACAAGTAAGCAACCAAAATTACACTATGACAATTTTCTGCACATAACAAAACAAAACAAAGCAAACAGAACAATATACTCAACAATGAGCAATACCACTAAATATCAAACTAAAAGGATCATTTTTCTACAATTCTATTCTTTTCAACTTCTTCATATTGGTTTATCATTTTATTCTTATAGCAGATTTTAAATTGAGAAACATTTATACAACACTTAAGATGATCACTGAGAGAACTCCAGTTTCTTATGCCTATGACTGTTGGACACATTTGCCTTTGTGTGGTTCGAGCAAACCGGTGCTTAAAATAAAACTTCCTTCTGCCGTCCCCGTTTTCTGAACACAATACAAATAAACTTTGTAACTTAAGAGGTAGTGTTTTATTTTTTGCCCTAAACATAATAGTTAAAGTCTGTAATTTCACTATGTCTTCTAGTTTTCACAATTTCGATTTTATAAACAAATTATTAGTGTGTTCTCTATATTTAACATTATACATAATTCGAAGCGCTCTCTTCTGTAATAAATATAATGGTTTCATATTAGTCACGTATGTATTCCCCCATACTTCAACACAATAGCTCAGATAGGGTAGAAACAATGAAAAATATAATATTCTCATTGTCTTGTAATCTAATATATATCTAACATTACCCAGGATATAAATACTTTTAGCCAACTTTTTTTTAACATGTTCAATATGTGATTTCCATGTTAACTTGTCATCCACTATCACACTATTCATATCATGACATCAAACCTGCATTAACATATTTGTTACTTTGTACCCAGTAACAAGACAAGACTACAAATAAGCAACCAGGACCAACTTTGTGGTGCTAAGCGAATGGATTTTATTTACACATCTAGTCACCCATTGCTCCATGTGTGGTACAAAAATAAAAGAAATCAATGTGAACATGTGAATTTTGACAGAACAAGAATGTTTACACCCTATTTTAAAATCATTGTTCCAGGTATACAAACTTTGCCTACGAAACAAGTGTGTTACTATATCACATGCTATGTGCTTTCATAGTTGGGCTACAGTGCAGAACCTGATTTTAAAGGTGCCCCACAGAGTTTTCTTGTAATCTATATTCAATGCAAAGAACATTAGTTCACACTGTTAAAATCCTCGAGCTTCACCACATGTGTCACATGTATTCATTTCCTTGCAAAGCTAAATACAATTTCCTGAACCTGAATATTTTCATATTTGGTGAGAAAATTTGGAATAAGCTCAGATCAGAACAGCACGACACGATCTGGACTTGCAGTTTTTATGATGTGCGCACATTTCTACACATTTATTAATAAATGCATGTTACAGTTCTGGATTCATAGATACACATGCTAATTTGGCTGATATACAAGTACATGTAAGCCATCCAGCTCTGCAGTATGATGCTCTTCATCTACTAGATTATTTGTGGAAAACACAAATGATTTGGCACATAATTCTGTTCATTGGCACCTTTAAATATCTCTATAGTGAAAAGTCTTCAGAAAGCAAAGGCTTCATGTAGTTACTGACATTAACATTTGGAACTACTACTGAAAACCGATATAAAAGCATATGGTTCAATGTAAACATTCGGCTGTGTTCAAACAGCTAAATTAAAGGGTTAGAAACGCAATCAAATGATCACAAGAACTGAAAAGTTGAGTGTCACCAGAAAGGCTTACATCAGTGTTCATGTACTGTGTAGCTATCTACAATCTCTACAGAACAACTCATTTCTGATTTTACTACAGAAACGGTTCACCTTCCCATTTTATTTGCTTCACTTCTTAAATCTGTTTTCCACTTGGTGCCTGTGAGTCAAAGACAGTTGTCCAAATTACATAACATACAGGAAAGATGCTTTTCTTTTATGTACTTTCAAACATACAGTGATAAACATCGGTGGATAAGATTAAAATGGCAAAGTTGCTCTACAGTGATTCCTTATAAAGAGGCGTTTACTTCGGGTGGATGTGGAGACCAGCTGCTGTGGTAATGTACATACATTTGTGTGCAAGTGTCAAACATTCAGAATGTTAGCTGCAAAGTAAAGTTGTAATCCTTAACTTTTTAGTGACATCAGATTCTGATTGTACCCAAACCAAAAACTGCCCATTTATTGCATTATCAGTAATTTGTGGTAACATCCACACATTAAAATGTGTTACCAGATTCAAAGTGGTCACACATTAAAGGGATTAAATATCCAGGGTTAGTGTCACCTTCCAAGTAAAAGCAATGATACCCAAAGAGTTGATGCTGAAATGCAGGAAAGCTTTAATGTGAACTGTTTGCTGTACTGCAGTTCAGCAGGAAAAATATTTATGTACACCAACAGAACATTTCCTGCATTTTGTACTGCAGCTTAAGATTTAAATCTCACAGGGGGGACCAAACGTGCACAATATCTGTGAAAAAAAAAACATCACTGAGTGAACAATGCGAATGTGTTTGTCTGTAGTGTAAACAGCTCCATCAGCTTCAGCCAGGACAGGAATCCTATGGATTACAACTTTACGGACTAAAGGTAACGGTAGATCAGCACAGCTTCACTAATACAAATGTGCATTGTGTTTAATTCTTGATCTCCAGGATGGAAGGATTGTGGTCGAGAATGGCCAAAATGATTTTGTCCATGTACTGCCTCAGACGCAGGTTGATCTCCTCCTGCTCCTTCAAAGCATCCACAAGCTGAGAGAGAAGAGGAATGCATTACAAGCGCAGTTATATCAAGAATAACCATTTCATCCAACCAACAGTAACAGACCAACCTCATCTCTGGAAGCGTTGTCAATCTCAGCTGCCAGGCACTGGGCCTTGGTTTGACAGGAGAACAGGTTCTTGGCCTCGTACAAGCTCAGACTGAGAATCTGAGCGTTCAGGTCGTCGTTTTGATCACGCAGCTTGTGGTTCTCCTACAGACACAAAGGACCCAGTCCTGACTCGATGTGTGTGTGAATTTGAGAAAGCAGTGAGCTTGAAAAATCTCACAAATATAACCGAGCCATATCCATTACATGTGATTAGGATTGCCTGCCTTTGACTGTGGGTGCATGTCTCACTCTCCCTCCAAACATCACATACACTTCTTCAATTTTTCTAAGTTGAAAGGAAGATTTTTACTTTATGAAAATATTGTTTTAATGATTTAATAAAGTATGAAACCACCGCTGACCAATGCCAGTTTGGCAAAACTGGGTATTAACAGGGAAATGCAGGGTAGCCCAAATGAATGGTCATTACCAGTGATGGGAATAATGGCGTTAAAAGTAACGGTGTTACTTTTTTCAGTAACTATTTTTCAACAACAGACTGATGAAGCAGTCTTCAGCTTACTGGGAGCTATGGGGCGAAACAATCGCACAGGTGCTGCTGATTGGCTGAGAAAGAATAGAGTAGTCATGGTTAAACCAATCACATGACCAATTTAAGATGACAACAAATCCCAGTTAGTGTGTAGTGTAGTGGATAGTTTTGCTGTGTGTGTCAGAACAATGATTTGCTGCCATAAAGCCACCAAAGGCAGATAACAGTATAAACGCTGTCTCCAGGTAGAAAACAGGACGAGTCTTCCTTTCCTCCTGTTGTCAGGCCTGCAGGTATCAGGCCTGTGATGTTCTCCTTTATCTCATAGTGGACAGAAATTATTTTTGCACAAATAGTTTGTGTGGCATCTAATTCGATGTAGAACACCTGATTGTTCTGTAAATAGTTTGAAATGGTTAATTTTTTTTTTAGGCAAATAGCTGCATACAACTTTGTGGTTTGCAAAACTTGTGCATAGATTTGTAAAGTTTACAATGTATATTTGCATTTCAAATTATGAAAATGATTCGTTTGTGGTTGCTACAGTAAAAAATGCAACTTTTTTCTACTGTTTTTTGTCTGATTTCGGATCAATTGTGCTAATGCAGTATTTCAAAATGAAAAACAAACAAACAAACAAACAAACAAACAAACTGTAAATTCAGACATGTGAGGTTGTGCTGAAAAGAACGATACCAAACAAGGCGAGGTAAACACTTTTTAAAGCTGAAGTGTAGAGGTAAAATCAAAAGTAGTCAAAAACAGCCACCCTGAACCCCAGAGGGTTAACCATAACGCAATAGTTACTTTTCCTAGTAATTAGTTACTCTTATAATATTGTAACTAAGTTACTAGTTACTTCTTCAAAAAAGTAACTACAACTAATTACTTTTTCAAAGTAACTTGCCCAACACTGGAGATTACCCTGTGACTGTTGGGAAGAGAAAAACAGACAAGGACACAACAGAGAGCATTTCTGACCTGACAAAGCGCCTTTGGGCTTGCTGTGGACTTTACAACTAAACACTAATATTTGGCCTCTCTGCAGCTCAACATAAACATAAAAGTTAGAAACAGAAATTGATGTGAGAGCAGTTACGAAATGGAGCGCACGTTACAGGTGGTCAGAATGGGACTTTTACACAGCAAAGTAAAGTTAGCAGGACTGAGCGATCCATCAGTGTATCAACACAGGTTTGGGAGTTCTCTACTTCGGTATGCTACTTCCCAATACACATTAACGGGGCTCAAGCAGCTCCTTGTTTGGATATATGCATGTTTCAAGAATTTATTTTTTGTGTGGATTAAATAGAAATAAATGAAATGACACAAATCTGACCATTGTGGAATTAAAAGTAGAAGAGAAAGTCTTTTCTGCAATGAGGAAGAACAAGGATGAGTGTGTTCTGTGTGGACCTGTTTCAGTCTCTTCACTTCATGTTCCATTTCCATCTCCCTGGTTTTGGCGTTAAACTCAGACAGCCCCTTGCCTTTCCCAGGATGTTCCATCTCCAGTTTAAACAACTGCAGATACTCGAGCTCCCGACGGAGATCATCAATCAGCTGCAGACAAAACAGTCGGTCAAACAACTCTAACATGTTCCACATTAACCTTTTCTTATCTTACCTGGTGACTACAGCGGGAAATGAAGTTATTTTCATAGAAATGATTGCCTGGGAGGAGTGTCTCACCTCCTGCATGGACTCTTTTTCCTTCTGAAACTCGTGGCGGTTTTGCCAGAGCTTGTCCATTATCTTCCTGTACAGGTCCATCTCATCTTTCAGCCTCAAACTAGTGTCCTCCAGTTTGTCTGTCACCCTCTGCTTCTCCTGCAAAATACACAAGTCAGGAAACAGTGGCTGAGAAAAAAACCACTCATGTTTTTATGATATATGTAGGAAAATACGCAACATTTGAGATACGGAAACCTAGCAGCAATCAAGATGAGTACAGACAAGCTAAAAGAAAAAAGCTTGTCAGGGTGAAACTACTCATGAAGTTTATATAAAATAATAAAAAGGATTACATCATGATGACACAGGAAGATACTTCAGCATACCTGATCCATTTTTTCAGTCTGAGACTTGAGTCTGCACACATTCAACTTCATCTCTGTATTCTCTTCTTCTAACTGCTGTAACCTTAGGGTGAACAAATGCAAACAGCTTTAGTTTGGTATCACAGGTACCCCAGTGAACTTTAACCTCCTAAGACCTGAACTCTTTCATGGCATGCATTTTCAATTTCTCTTTGCTATTTGGGCTGATTGGGACCTGATGAATATAAAAAGAATTACCTGTTTTGTATTGTTTTTTTTTACCAGATTTTTGTTTCTGAGAAAAATGAGATCCTAATATGAGGACATTTGTTGTAAATGTTAATAGAAGTGGCAGTATAATGTCCCTGTAAGCGGATATCAGGCCCTTGTAGAGCACAATTTAGTATTTTTGTCTAGACAACCCAAAATGTGATGTCCACATATATGGACGCCAGGCCCTAGGAGGTTAAAAGACATGAGTAAGGCTTGGTGTTTTTAAAGTGCCAGAACGCTGACCGTCTTTGATCAGCACAGCAGCTTGTAAATTTGCGCTGCACATTTCCTTATTTCCTGTCTTAATAGCAGGCAACGGCAGGGTAACAAGGCTAACAGCAGTTTCATTTCATGAGACCTACAGCCAATCAGTGTCTGTGGTAGTTTATGGTTACAGAATGCCTGCCTTAACAGCAGATGTGTAGTTGATCTTGTATCAGAGCCAAATCTAGCACCAGCCTGTTTAGGAGTTGGATTATGGGGGAAACTTCCCTTTAGGTAAATTGCTGGTTAGTTTACCTGTTACAGAGCAGCTCTATCTCTGTGTTTCTATCTCTCTCCATCTTGGTGTAAGCCTCCCGGTGTTTCTTCACCTCTTCTTTGAGACTCTCTGCAGACTTTGTCTCTGCATCCTTCACCTGCTCCTCTAGCTCATGAACCCTTGGAAGCAAAAACACAGAGGTCATTCAGACTGGTACAGACTAGTTAGCTAGAACCAAAATGCTGCACAGGTTTATATAAGATCTATGGACTAATTCACATCACATATATCTCATATCTGCACCACTTGTAAAGAATGATCAAACAGGTGCAATTAATGTTATTTATATGAAAATAAACACCACGCCTTTTTGTACAGGAACCAAACCCAGCCAAAGCTCCCACTCAGCTCAAGTATTCTTACCTGTGCACAAGGTGGGTGTTGTCATGCTTGAGTTTAGACTTGAGGTCATTGTTGGCCAGACTGTCACTTTCCAGTTCTGTCACCTTTTTCTCCAGGTAGCTGACCTGAGTGACACATCACACAGGTAAGGCCTAAAGGTTAAAGAGCATCTTCTTCATTTGCATACAGACATTCCCAGTATGCCTCTACACAGCCCGTTGTTAACAGGAGATTAATCGCCCGTTTTAAATTGATCCATCCTCCTACACACTAACACTATTTTCCCCACCTCACAGACTTCAATTTATTTCAGCATTGTTTTTATTTTTCATTAGCTAAAACGAGGCTGCTGCTTCACCAGTTAGACTCTTAGTTTGTGACAGTAGTCCTTGTTCTGCTCTGGAGATGTGCTATGAGCTAGAGGATCATCCAGCAGGTGAAGATTATTATGTGTTTACTTTCTCTGTGATGTCAAGGTCACAGGAGTCAATACTGTCTGTGAACAGATCCTCTGTGCTGCTGCCCTGACTGGACCCAAACACGCTGTGATTGGCCTGGAACAGCTGACTGCAGGGAGAGAGAAAACACCCGAGAAACAGGAGACATCATATTTACACTGCATAAACATGTAAATCCCGTATATGCTTTGCATTAGTGTCTACTACCACCATGTTCTTCAGTGGCTGCATTTTTTATATTGTAACGAGAAAGATGCCAAAACTAAGCAACAGTTTATGATATCTACAGTGCACAGATGATTTAGAGCAGCAAGAATTAAAAAAGGTGCTTTGTAAGAACGTCAGGTCACTCACCGTCCAAATGCTGTGCTGGAAATCTTCCTGTTAGGACTGAAAAAAAACAGGAGAGGAACCGAGTCACACATACTGACAGTAACACAGGCTTCAACTATCCATTTTAATAATCCAAAAGCCTTTGCTACAACTCTATTTGCTGGTAGTAAAATTAGTGCAATGACACCTCTGCTTTCATTCACACAGTGGTTTCAAACAATGTTCTTCTGTGGTTGCCGTACGATACAGTTTTAACCACAGTCAGTGTTCTTGTTTCAGCTGTATTGCTGTAGCATCGCACACAAGACACAAAAGCTCACAACCAGTCATCCCGCCACATTGGGATACAGTTGCTATAGCAACAACTCGAGCTCGCCCTTTGATGTGGATGCAGCATCTGATGCCAAGAATGAATAAGAGGGGATTTAGCTGGATGGCTAAGACAGCTAATCCAAGCTTTGTGACATTAGGGCGATGCTGAGGCAGCAAGAGTCATTACCATTACCAATAGCTCCAAAAAATAGATAACTGTACGAATGTGCTATACTGACTGGTAAATTAAAGCTTGATCTTTTAGGCTAAGCTCTCTCCTCCCTGCCTGCATTAGCACTGATGCTACACCATCAGTCTTATGAACAAGACTGCAGCGTACTTGAAACATCTCTATCTAAACCCAGAGGGTCGAATCCACCGTTTTCTCACTGAAAATGAAGGCCTCATACTTGGAAGTGCTTCCCTGTCTTGAAAGGGTAATCAGGTGTTCCACGGCTAGCATGGTAGCCACGTTGGTCCTCTTGGACCCGGGGTTCAAGGCTGAGTAGTGTGATACCCCAATGATGAACACACACCATTTTTTCTTTTTTAAAAATCTGAAATTCATTCAGTCTTAGGATGAAGACAGTTCCAGGTCTCTCTCCCAGAAATGAACATCAGTGAATGTGTGCTCCACCTGTTGGCCTTGAGGTTTCTCAGTCGAGCCTCCAAGTCATTGAGTAGATTCACTTTCTTGCAGCACTGCGAACAGTAGATGTCCAGCAGCTCACTGTTATACAGCTGCCGCATCTTTTGAGGGGTGTGGCCAGCACTGGAATTATAAAGAATGAATTGATTAATGTCCACATATATAATCAAATATAAATAAGCATGTCTGAAAAAGTGAAAGTCAGCTTCTTGCTGTTAGCTATAGATATTTGCAGTGTCTGCAGAGCACATTGGCGTTCGTCAATGAAATGTCTTCCAGTCTCTACTTTTTCAAGCCATGGTTCAGAAAACTTGCAGTACTGTCTAAAACAATGCACTGCATTCAAATCAAACAGGCCCATTGTTAACAGCCCTGTGCTTTTCTCTTTAGGACAAGCAAACAGCCAAAAAGTCTGATTTGTCTTTTTCTGCATGAAAACTGGGTCTTAAGACATGTTTGTATGTAATTCTGCGTGTGCATACGATTAAGGGAGTGCTTCCTTCTCATCAGACACCAACCTGGAGGGAAGCGAGGATCCAAGATCTGAGAAACCATTTGTTCGTGTTTCTTCTTCAGGGCAAGGGCTGCTGGGAGTAAAATCTACATCCTCCCCTTCACCGTAGTCTTCAAACTGCTCCTCTCTAGAGATGACGGGCGCAGACGCTGAGCCAATCAGGCGGCTAGGGTTGCATTCCAAAACAAAACAATTAAAGGGGAAAAAAACCAAACCCACAATCAAAAGAAATTCTAAGTTTTCCTAAAGTCCCAACTCAGACTGGTTATGACTGACCTGCGTTGCCGTGTTGGGTGAAGCGAGTCAGAGCTGTTGCCATTTTCAGTGCTGCTGTCCATGTCGCACTCGCCATCAGCACACGTGTTTTCCTGGTAGGACCGTGTACACATGATAATTGGAGGACCAAGCTTTGCCTCACCATTCTGAACATACAAGCAAAATTATGTGAATTAGGATTAAAAATCGAACTTTACAGGATTTCAAAAATAGAAGTAACAGTCACATTAGACACTTCTCCAACACAAGGCATCGCTTCAACAGGACAAATTGAATTATAAGTTAACTTTACATTTTTTTTCCAATTTCAAAGCAGAAACTCGAGTTCAAAATCACATCATCACACAGAGATGTTTACTAAAATCACATGCAAACAGTTACGTAAACAGTTATTCAAAGAACAGCTAAAGTCATGCATGAGATACAAGTCCGATACAGTGCCTAGTCACTGATTACACTGAACAACGGATCATCAGCATCTTAATATATAGTTCTTAAAAATATACATTTCAAATAAAAAATGCCAAGATTATAATCTTGCTTACAAGGAAACTGTCATGAACCACTGTGTGTAAAAACACAAAAGGTGAAGAGGGGCGATGAAAACAGCTGGGGAACAAAACACAGCTGAGAATAATCAGGTAATAAGAGAGGCAGGAAAACTGAACCTTTCAAAGTAAAGGCAGGAAGTAGCTAAAGGAAGAAAACAGGCCAAAATACACACACAATAAGGTAACGAAAGGCAAAGACAACTAGATATAAGACACGAGGAGCCAAAATAAGCTCAGGGTCACCAGTAACTAAAAATTAAGGCAAAAAATGACAAGACTTAAATTACAAAGGAATTAACAGCAACAACACAAACAGAAAACTAAATACTATCAATAAAAGAAACCTAATACAAAGATGACCTCAAACTAGAAAGAATCCCACTGCATTTAGACGAATCCAGCAATAAGATCCAGGAATGTCAGCCTACATTTATTAAAAGGCTATTTAGAGAAATCAGTCTTGGCTTCCTGTGCTTATTTTAGCAGATTTAATCAAACAATGAAGTTTTAGTTTAAATAGAAATTTTAAAATGTTTCTGCTTGTAATCTACTGTTGTTTCAATACCCCATCACATACTAACTGTATGAGAGGTACAAACTCAAAGAATTTCCGATGTTTAAGTTTGATCTCAAGATATTTAAGATGACTTTAATTGTCCAAACATTGGATATTACTAACAATATCCAATGTTTGGACCTTTGTGATTAGCATTAAGGTTAGCTTTAGCCAAACATTTTCCCCAGAAATCACTAAAGCAAAGAGGGGAGTTTAAATCAGCGACACAAAGCGACGGCTTTAAGAGAGAAACAGAAGTACAGCTGGTATTCTGACCTGCTCTCATGATTTGAACAGAATATGATGAAGTTGTATTTGAGGTAGTGTCTTGGGCTGATTTATCATGTGGGAGTTAGCGTGCCCCAGATAGTATATTATTAATAAATCATGCTGCTGTCTGGCTTAACCCCACTGTAGTACCATGACAAGGTCACACCCAAGCGCTCTTTCACACACACAAAGTCAAGTTTCTCATCATTACCAGTAAAAGCAGTGGCTCCATACTCTGTTCTTACTTAGGATTCTGCTGGATTGTGGAAGTATGTTCACATATAAAGACACAAGACAGACATAATATGGCATCTGAGGGACTGCTACCCACCTTTCACTCATTAATTAAACACATTTTTGTCTGTGATGAAGGGGTGTGGGAGCATATGTATATATATTTATATATATACACACACACACAAAATAACATAATATATCCCAATTCATCCACACACAGAAACACCACATAAAATGAAAAACAACTTTAAGCTTTGTGCCAGTCTGTGTGCTTTTCCTTTATTGGACTAATCTTCTCTTTCAAAAAGTTAGAAATCAGTTAGTCTGACACATTCGTGCAACTTACCAAATAAGTGTGGACACCATCTCACTCATCTCCAATACAAAGTCACAAATCACACTAATGAGTGTGTACGTGTGAATGCATCTGCTGTGGTGGAGCTAAAAACAAAAATCTACTGTATTCCCAATGCCTGAAGGCTCAGTGTCCTCAGAGCTTAGACACAAATAAATACGACTGCAGCTCCAGCAGTAATGTAGAAAGCACAGCGAAGCTTTAGCTGGGACAAAACCACACCTCGGCTCTCTCGCTCTCCGTCTCGCTCTTGTCTCGCTCATCCTCTTGTTGCTAAGCAACGATCCAGTTAGGCTAATCTCTATGAGGGACATAATCAGCCACGCACAGCAACATACATTTCACACAGTAAATTTATGATACAAAAATAATTGAGATATATTTAAGGTAGTACACATGCTAGAAACCAGCAGCATCATCAGAGCTGTATGGAAGCCCAGCAGTACAGGTTTATATAAAAAAAAAATTGTTTCTGAAAAGTTAGTCACTATATCATATTTTTGACACTTAAACTCTGGTGTTTAGGTAAGAAATCAGTGCCTCGTGATTTTCATTTATCGTGAATATAAATCTAAACCTTGAGAAACACTGTTCTAAATGAACAGTTATCGATGATCTTAGCTTCACTGCTGAATTATTGCCGTTTCACTCCATGTAAACAATGTCCACTTTCACTCTGACATCTGAGTTTACAAAAACTTTAAAAAGTGTCTTTAAAATTATTTGCAGTATTAACGGAGATGTTTCAGGGTGTGTTTTCACATCATGCCACAGAATTATGTGCACCATTGAAGATCCAATCACCTGGTATATATAGCCATTGTCTGTGACAGATGGCTGGCTGGAGGCATGGCTGCGAGGACCCACAGTCATCTTCATTATTTCTTCACAACCTAGGAGGACAAGTGTGGGGAGGAAAGTAAATAATAAGAAGGGAAATAACATAAGCAGATGTTTCCTCTGTAATAAAACCAGTAAGAATATTTGTTGTAATTTGAGCTACGTGAATAAAGTGGTATCATCTTCAATGTTTACATCTTTCATTTTATATTATCCAAACTCTTTTTGTCATTTTCAAGGTAAAATGGGCCATGTAGCATTAGAAGAAGAGTATGGAGCAGATTGTTTCCATTGTGACAGTTACATGAAAGTGCTGACAACACTATGATGTCTGTATAAACAACACAAGTGTGAGGTCAGCAGATGTTTGTCTTAGCTTAGCAAGAAAACTAAATAGTAGAAAACAGTTTACCGAGCTTTAACTAAATGTGACAAGGTTACAAAGTTACAAAGCTCACACATCTTCTCATGACAGAGAGCAGGACAATCAAAGTCCATGTCTCACCTTTGATAGCAAACACTCCGTGGCAAAAGTCTTTGAAGTTGATTTTCCCATGAGCGTTAGGATCCAGGTACCTTGTCAACTTCTTCACCTGCAAGACACAAAAGTAAAGTCAGCCTTTTCTAAAGGAAACCCGCTTTAATAAAAACACAGAAGGTAACTCGTACCCTTGTTAACTGACATCGGCAAAAATCTTAAAGGTGTGCATAGAAAAATATTAGACGATTCACACAAGTACATCAACCACGTTTTACTGTTAGAGGCGTCTGAAGAGACACCAGGGTCCAGGTTCACAAAGACTGCCTGTAACTACGGATTACATAAACCAAACAGCCGACTCCACAAAGAACTCCAGATTTATCCTACTGTTCTGGAAAAAGTGGCAGACTGAATAAAAAGTATCGAGTCCCTGTTTTCCCCTCCAGAAGATGCCAGCCACGGTAAAGTAGGAAACATCCTATTGCATAAAATTAATAATAAACTGCACAGCTATTACTGATGTCCTTAGATTAAGGCTGTTTTTTTTTTTTTTTCTCCCACTTGATCTTCATACATCCAAATGGAACTTAAAACACTTTTTTTCCCTATTTATTTGTATCTACATTACTGAAAAAATATATATATAAAAATTTTATTAAAATAATTGAAAATCTATGTTGTAAAGGAAAAATTTCCTGGAAAAAAGAAATTATCTGGGATGTTTATCCTCATATGCAACAATGAGTACTCTGACAGTACTACTACTACAGATGTCAGAGTGGCCCCTTGGAGGCTCAAATGGAGTGAGACAACTCTGACAACTAAAATCTAAAATGTGACAAATTTGTAGTTTTATTTGTAAAAGTAAAGAAGCTTTTAGGATCGCTGTTCTGTTGACACAAAGATGAAATAAGTCAAAAGAGGATTATAGCTCCGGGTCTGGAAAGTGGTGGAACTACTCTGTGACACAGGCTTTGATCTTGCTCTCAGCTTTCTCAGTGAGGATAAAAAAGATGAAAATAACCAGTTAAGAGCTGAGGGTATACTGTGGGACAAGTTGTGTTATGTCAGCATCTATAGAAGCACAAACGGACACGTCCTGGAGTTCAGTGTCACGTTATCACAGAGGATTAAATGTAAACGTCAGCAGCTGTCTACCTGGTTTGACTTCAAAAACCTGAAGACTCTTTAATGTCACACGAGCAGAAACCAGACACTACAAACCTCTTACAGCATTAGAATTCATGAGAGGCTCTCTTGGGTCCTCATTTTCAACTTTAATCCAAAAGACAAAAAAGGTCCATCCAATGCCAACAAAACTCAATGCATGTATATAATAAAACCATGACAACAGTATTTTGTACAAAACCAGAAAGTAGCGCCACTGTGGATCTGACACTCACAGGACGGTTAGACAGGAGAGAGCTTCAGGAACAAATACTCAAAACAGAAATACAGACTGCAGCCAACAGGAGCACACTAGAAATGCAGCCCACTAACTTACTTTGGCATCTTTAAATTACGGTTAAAACTCTTTTTTTTAAAATTAGGTGTTTTTTCTATGTAGCATCAGAAAAATGTGAGGAAAGTTAGATCGAGACCACAAACCTGACACAATTATCAATAATTTAATTTTACCTCAGGGTAACGAGACTGCTGCAAGCTCAAACTAATAACAAGAACAAAGGAAGACAATGAGAGGCTACTGGGGAACCAAGTCCACACAAATATAGCACCTCATTGTACTTATACAGGTACCTCGATCTGTCACTAGGTACTGCTGCTAGGGGCGCGTTTAGCTTCGCTTCCTGTACCTTACAAAGATAAGTTTTCATTCGTGTACCTTCATACAGTACTACAGGGTACATTAAAATAGTGCAAACGTGCAAAATATAAAAAAGTAAGAGAGATGAAAATGGAAATATACAGCTCAGAGTGCTGAAACATTTCATATCATGTTTTTACAAAGACTATAAAATGTAGTATTGTATTCAATGGCTAAAGAAAAGTACAAGAAGCTAATAAACTAAAAGGATTCATATTACGTTTATGGATGCTGCTTTTAATTTCCCCAAATAAAAGCTCTGAGTGGAGTGCTCTTTGCCAGCCAGCTCTCATATCTCAGATTTTGTGTTTCACAAACATTTAACAACACAGTACATCAGCGGTAGACCTTTCCAATTGGTCTGAAAATTGTTTTTACCATACAGCGAGAAGATAATTCTGCCAAAGGGGAAAACAACAATGATTCAGTGTCAGGCTTTCAGCCAGGAAACGTATTAGACCCAGCGACTGCGACAAGAGGGATTCTGTGCTAATAAATGTCGCACTTGTTTCACATAGTGGTGTCCATCTACTTAACACGAAATGTGCAACGCTTCAGAGAACAGTGAGAGGAGGGAAGAAAGTAACGTCTAAATATAGAATAGAGAGCTCACCAGATCCCAGTTGGCCGTGTCCACATTAAAGTGATGAATAGTTTAGTCTGCCATGTTGAGTGGACATAGATGAAAAGATATCAGGTGTTTTCGTATGTATAAAAAGAAATCAACAGCAATGAAGTATTGGGGGCCTATGTATTAAAATGAGCATGTTTTTCACATATTGCATTGAAAAGAATAAACCAATCGTTTTGGGTCATGCTGAATAAAACATGAAGTTCATTTTGTAAATTCTGATCATTCTAATTGTCAAAAAGAGGATAACTGGAGTATATTCAATTACATATCATTAACCAAAGTATGCATAATCTTACTACGGCCGATCTCTCACTCATCACGTCTATTTTTCAAAGACCAAAGTGGCGATGACAGAAATGCTCATCTCTGTGCTGTTAGCGTCTCTGGGTGTTACTATAGGTGCATTCTCCTTTATATTATCTATGGTCAGAAGCAGATCAATGAAAAAGCTACATTAGTGTTGCATGCACATACACTCACCAGCCACTTAGATACAGCTGTTCAAACTGAACATCAATGCAAATAATCTGATCAGATCGAACGGCAGCAGTTCAATGTGTTTAGACATGTGATAAAGACAGCCTGCTTAAGTCCTAATCGAGTACCACAATGGGAAAGAAATGTGATTTAAGTGATTCCAAACATACAGGGCTGTTTGTGCCAGATGGCCTGAGTCCTGCCAGCTAAGAACAGGAAAGTCTGGATACGGTTCACACAGACTCACCAAAACTGGACAGCAGAAGATCATAAGAATATTGCCTGGTCGAATCGTGACGTTCAGATTGTAGGCTCATAATTTTGTATAAACAACATGAAAGCATGGATCCATCCTGCACTGCCTTCAGGTTGGCATTAGTAGTTTAATAGTGTGGGAATATTTTCTTATGAGACTTTGGGCCCTTTAGTAGCAACTGAGCATAAATCCTACATTGTACCTGAGAGTTGTTGCTGATCATGTGCATTACTTTATGAGCAGCAGAATGTAACACAAGTCACAAATTTCAAACTGGTTTCTTGAACATGACAGGGAGTTTATTGCACTTAAATGGCCTACACCGTCACCAGATATCAGTCCAATAGAGCGTGGGATGGGGTGGAATAGGGGATCTGTAGCAACTGTGTGATATTATCATGTCAACATGGAGTTTCCTGCACCTTGATAATTCTATGCCATGCAGGATTAAGGGAGTTCTGAAGGCAAAATGACATCCAACCCAGTAGTAACGAGGTATACCTAATAAAGAGGCATGCAGATGTATGGTCGAAATGAGCACAATAGGATTTGTTTATTTTAGATGATAAAATATTAAAATCTTTAGCAGTAAATTTCTACACAAAACATACAGAAATATGTCTTCAAAAATATGATGAAATAATACAGGATGTGTGTATAACCCACGATCCACAGACGCTGCTGGAACAAACAGAAATGCAGAGCTGCTGGTGTTCTCCTGAGTTGTTTTGAGCAGCTGAGCAGATCATTTAATTACTTAATAATCAACCAATCCACTTGCGGAGATCTAGTGAAGCTCCCGTTCCCATGGAGACAAAGCACAGAGATGAGTGGAAGTGCACGAGGGGAGGAGCGACATGAGGAAGTAGCTTCATTTTAGCATAGCTGAGCTATTTTTAGTGATGTGTCCTGGGTTTTCAGCCGCTGTTGCACTTTAAAGCAAACTCCACAGTCACAAGCAGACATCACTCCACCTTTTCAAATATGTAAACTCAATCAGCAAAGGACTGGAAACACTTGCAGACTAAGCCCACTTAAAGTCATCAGTTATTATTATATAGCTTTCTTATTTATGTAAACCTGAACAACAACAAGCATATTTCTAAATAAATTAAAGATCTACTCTGTGCATGTGTGTGTGTATATGTGTGTATGTATATATATATATATATATATATAGTTAGGTCCCTGGTTAGGGTTAGACTATAGCCCTGCTTGGGGTTATTATCATGGCACACAAAAATCATCATCCAATATGGAAAATTATATAATTCTGCTACAGAAAATATTAAATACTCTTTGATAAAATACTACATCACTTCACATATTTGGGGCTGTAATAAAATGTTACATAGCATCACATTTTTCATTAGCTGCTCCCTGACAGCTCAACGGGTCAGAAGCATGACAAAGATTTGGTGCATCTCCAGGATCAACTCTGACCACTGAAGCAAGGCTCATTGATGGTTAATCACGGTAACTATGTGTGGAAATCTACGTGTGGCTCGGCTTTCTGGCATAATCCCCTTAAACACGCTCGTCCCAGGTGTGGACAAACTGTTTAGCTGCAGTGAAGGTTTCAGGGCGACATTTATCACAGTGTTTTAGGAACAACACAAACACGCTGATATCTGATCTTGCACACAGAATGTAAAGCCATTTCACTTTGTATGTTTCTTATCAAGGTTTAAATGACAAATGAAATTCTTCACTCCAGTCTAAACATTCAGACTGGAGAACAAAGCACTGCTCAGGATTCTGCATTTGCCCACTTTCTTCTATTAGTACAGTCAGTATCTAGGATAATATTACAATATTGTACAATACTATGTTTTTAAAATAGCCAAACATGTTTCTTATCCTTACAAAATCAGAGTACCTGTATTAAACAATGTATTTTATGATGCTGCAAAAATCAGATTTCAGAATTGTTTTTTCCCGCACTGACTTTATACAGCCACTGAGACTGATGTATTAGTTAACCCCTATTGGGGAGGGGGGATTACAGAAGACCTTCATCATTGATAAAAGTGTAGCTATAAGCAGTAAAGCTGCATTATTAGGCTTTCTAATTTTACAGAGGCTGTAATGCCCCCATTGTCGTCAGTCTTCAGCTTTCCTAATGTTGTGAGGCTGGAACAGTTTAAGTGAATGGGAAACGCAAGACAAAGCATGTCAGCCACCACCGAGGATGTCAAGTCTCCTGTAGCCTGTCCTATGTCATACCGCAGCAAATAAGCTGCTGGCACCTCTAACACACCTGTGACTGTTAATAAGCAGGACGGGTTGTCTGTTGTTAAAAGCTCCACGTATTACAGATTCACCATATTGGAAACATTATACGAATATGAATGCAGATGTGCTATTTGTCCTTTGTTACCCAGTCCCTTCCAGCCTCTCACCTCGTCTCCTTGACCGAATTGAAGACCGAGGTCCATCAAGTGCTCCACCCGGATGAAGCCGTCAGCATCCTCGTCACAGACGTCGAAAACCTCCTTGAGCCTCCTCAAAAACTGTAGGAGCTGTTCTTGTTCGGGAAAGGCACGTCCTTCCATTATACAGGCTTCGCGCTGCACACACACACAGCTTATATTCTGGTTTTCCTCAATCAAACGGACTGTAAGACACCGACTCCGACGGTCGCCATCACCATCCCAGCCTTCAGCTCCGCCGGACCGACTGGTACCGCTACTGTTATACAAGCAGCACGGCACGCTCAAGAGGCGCGAGGAGTGTCGGAAATACGCGACGACTTACGAGTTCGTCACGAGGCATTACGTCACAGGCCAGTTGCTAATTCATAATCCAGGTGTGCTGTCACTTTCCTCCCGCTTTTGACGACAATGTATAAAACTGTATGGAAGCCCAGTTTGGCCAATAATAAAAGAACTATATGACACACAAGATTGAAATACTCAATCATACCATGTAAGACTATTTAGCCTACCACATGAAAACTAAGCAATAAGAATATTTAATTAACATTGGGAAACAAAAAAGTCGACTTAATTTAAACATAAAATTAGTATAAATAGTACAAATTAACATAAATGTTAGCTACTATAACTGAACTCTGAACTAACCACGTCGTAAAAAGAATTTTTAGTATATGACTGACTTCCAGAAAACTGAATAAGAAAACTTAAGAATTAATGTATTATTTGGAAACGGTAATATTTCAAGCGGACAAATACTGCTCAAAAAAATTAAAGGAACACATAAATCACCGGTTGGATCTAGATGAATGAAATGTTCACCTTGAAAACCTTCACTGACGTACATTAGGTAATTTGTTGAGAACAAAACGACAACAGTCAGTGAAAACACAATAATCGTTTAAGTGCTGGATTTGAGGGAAAAAAGAAAATCACAACAGTTAAAGTTGAAAAGTGTGTTTTGTTAATTATCAGCATAATTACATTTTAGGTTAAACACTTTTTCAAAATCAATTCTCAGCAAGGTCTTTTTGTTACAAAATAAAACAGTCAGATAATGAATATGCAAAATATTATTTTGTGGATAACACACTAAAATTTTGCCCTCATGTGTGGCTGAGGATGCAGTTTTTTTATTGGAAAAACAGTTTATACAAGACTTATCACAGTCACATCTCTGTACAAAAAATAAAACCATTACAGTGTGGCCCAGTGCTCAAAATCATTACTCATCCCTTCAGCTGATTTAAGCATAAAAACCATTTCATCTCTAAACCCAGTTTAAACAGAGCTGTTAAAAATGTGCTAACAGAGAAGCACAGATAAAGTTTAAATGGACCAGAATCAAAACCATTGGATGTTTTAGCTTTTAAAAGATAAGTCCAGGTCATTAAAAAAATAACTATGTGGGCGTATGAATTCACTATTTCTCTCAAACTTAAATGATGAGTCTTGGCTCCAGCAGAGACTCCCAGCGTTCTGTCACCTATGAGAGGAAAGTGAACATGTTACTTTAAGGACTAGTCAAGTCAGATTTATTTATACAGCACAATTAAAACTAAGAGCTGTGCAGCTAAGAGAACAGAACAATGCAAGACAATAAATTCAATCGTGTCTACGACGATGTAGACCAGCGGGCAAGCACTGTGTCCGAGTCTGACAACACTGGAGCACCACAAGGGACTGTGCTCTCCCCTTTCCTATTCCCCTTCTACACCACAGACTTCAGCCACGGCACAGAGACCTGCCATCTTCAGATGATGGTTGTAGGATGGTAGCTGGATGCATCAGTGGGGGCAATGAGACAGAGTACTGGGCTGTGGAGCTGCAGAATCATCTGCAGCTCAACATGACAAAGACCAAGGAAATGATTGTGGACTTGAGGAGGACCAGGAAACCAGCGACCCACGTTTCAATCCAGAGGGTCGAAAATAAAACTTGTAACCACATAATTTTCACAGGGATTAATAAAGTATTCTGATTTTGATCTATTCGGAGTGTAAATGCTTTACAAAAACCGAAACAGCACTTGCAAAGACTTAAAAACAAACAGTAAAACCTTAAAATCAATCTCAAACTGACTGGCAGCTAAGACGAGTGATATGTGGTCCTGTTAACTCATGAAAAAAGAGAAATGTCTAAAACAATCACACCTTTGGGGGGTTTTCAATCAATTGTTCCAATCCATCCATCCATCCATTCACTTCCGCTTATCCTTTTCAGGGTCGCGGGGGGCGCTGGAGCCTATCCCAGCTGTCATAGGGCGAGAGGCGGGGTACACCCTGGACAGGTCGCCAGTCTGTCGCAGGGCTAACACACAGGGACAAACAACCATTCGCACTCACATTCACACCTAGTGACAATTTGGATTATCCAATTAACCTATCCCCACAAGCTGCATGTCTTTGGACGGTGGGAGGAAGCCGGAGTACCCGGAGAGAACCCACGCAAACACGGGGAGAACATGCAAACTCCACACAGAAAGACCCCGGCCTGATGGTGGAATTGAACTCAGGACCTTCTTGCTGTGCGGCAACAGTGCTAACCACCGTGCCACCGTGCTGCCCGAACTATAATTTATTTATTAAATAATAAAGTAGTGACTCTAAAGCATAGGTGTCAAACTCTGGCCCGCAGCCTAATTACATTTGGCCCGCGAAGCCATACCAAATTACTATTCAGAGCTGGCCTACTGGTATTATACAGCTAATATATATATTGTTTAGTATTAAGCTTTGCTTGTTCCATATTCAGTTTTTCAGCAAAACGTGTTTGAGTCCATAAGAAAAGATTCATTCTTATATCTGGAGGAATAAATATATTTAATAAATATTAACGTTAGCCCGCGACTTTGTTCCAGTTTTGAATTTTGGCCCACTGTGTATTTGAGTTTGACACCCCTGACTAATGTATGTAATGTAAAAATGGTGATAAAGGGTCACACCCCCAGAATTATCACCCTACTCAGCATCCATAAATATATATTTAGCCTCTTATCTCATGGTTTTATTTTGCTCTTATCAGTGTCACATTCAGCAGCAGCAGATTGACTCAAGTAGCTCTGATAAATCTGCTGTGCACTTTGTGACCAGCTCCATTAAAAAACAGCAGATTTAAAGCACACCCACACTGGCTTTACTTTTACACTACCTGTGGCTTCAGAGGGTTATTAACAGCACATAAAGTCTTACCCAAGACCCTCTGGACACAGCATACTCCACCCTCTCGGAGCCATCTGGATTTTGATAGACTAGATCAAATTTTCCAGGCTCTACGGAAGCTTTGGAAGAAGCAACAAGTTAGGAATCATTAGAAACAGAAATAAATTAGGAAGGTTAATTCTTAAATCTCTTAACTTCTTCTGAGAAAGTGTTCAGTTCTCTGAAAATGAAAAGGTTTTCGCTGTAACGTATTATATATCACTACCAGTGACATGACCAGTTTAATTAGGTGCTGACAATTCAAAGACATCAGGAGTCGTCTTTTAAATTTTGATATAATTACTTACATGATACATTATTTTTAAAAAGGCATGATTATACACAGTTATGATATTGTATGCCAGCGGTGAACTGATCTCCTACCTTGAGAGACATTAAGGAGTTCAAGTTCAATCTGTCTGTTGATTGGGTCAAAGCTCACAATCTTTCCCTCCTAATATAAACAGAACCACAGTTGGTCATAGAGTACGAATGACAGTTTATACCAAAGTCTGTATTAAATAAGCTTTTATTAGTAACATCATTCCAAGGTTGTGATTAGGTCATCACAACTGACTGCCCTCACCTTGTATTCAGATACCTCTGGTGTGTAGTTTTCAGTTAGCTCCAGCAGCTGCATATAAACACATAGAATTAGGAAATGAATGCAATTCACTTTTTTCATTCACACATTATTATTTATATAGCTTCAAATCACAACAGCAGTCGCTTTAAGGGGGCTTTATTCTGTAAGGCAGAGGCGCTACAATAACACAGAGGAAACAAAAGCACTCTGACAGCGCAACTCCCCTCGAAGAGCGAGGGCTGTAATACATCTGTGATGCTTTATGTTTTTATTACAATGCATCAGAGAGCAACTTAGTATCTTCCCCAAGGAAATTTGACATGAAGCAGCCAGCCATGTATTTATTTTATTTTATTACAATATGCCCTCATAATTATAATATTACCCTGCTTTTATAACAACACACTGATGTCTGACCTTTGACCTTTAAGCATTACATACTAAAATGATGTATTTTATTATCTTTACCAATATAATTGAAGCAGAAATGGCCGAAATCTTTGGTTTTAATAAGCTGAAAAAATGTGAGTGCGGCAGGGTGTGGTTTGTGGCTCAGCCGCAGGGGAGGGGTGGAGCAGCGGGTTCAGGGTGCCTGTCAGGGGAGTCTGACACACACCTGAGCTCCATCATCTGGCCATGGCTCCAGATAAAAGACGTGCTGAGACCTGAGGTGGTAGGTGTGTGTGCTACAAGCAACTGCAGGCAATTATGGGCAAAATAACCACTGGCAGGGCTCTAGACTAACTTTTTGCCATGGGTGCACTGGTGCGCACCTTTGAAAAGTTAGGCGCACTCAAATTTTTCAACCGCATCGCTTAACACCGCAGTTTTACATGTACACTTTTTTGGGGGGGAAATTGCAGTCCATACAGACAACATTCATTTCTAAACTATTAACTAACAATCTTGTGCTTAAAGTGCTTTCTTTTCATCTTTTCTTATTACCCACAGCTACATCCACTTCTGTCGTGCCTAGGCTGCTCACTAGGGCTGGGTATCATCACTGATTTCTATAATCCATTCGATTCCGGTTTTCAAAGTCCCGGTTCGATTCAACTTAGCCTCAGACAGTCAGAAATATTATAATTCTGATCATTTATCAGTACTGATACATGTGAGACTTCATCAGAATTGTGAACATCACAGCAGATGCCTTTGTGTGAAAGTAACTGAGAGAGAGAGAGAGAGAGAGAGAGAGCTGTGCATGAAACAGCAAAAGTCAGAGGGAATTTATGACGACATTGATCAAATGTGAAGCGCAGTTTGCTGCTTCTTTTGCTGCTGGCTCGGTGAAGTTTGGTTGGAGAGAGACAAAACCTGCAGCTCAGAATCAGCGCAAAAAGACGTAAACACAGCGCGGACCGGACGCATCAGGATCGTTGAGCTCCGACAACGTATCCGTCTACGGGCCGTCGGGTGAGAAAGCCGAGAAAGACAAAGCTGATTCTGATGCGTCGGGTCTGTGTTTACGTCTTTGTGTGGAATCCGTGTACCTGCTCTCATTTACTGTTTGGTGGTTGTAGAAATAGTTTTGTGAGCTTTAATCTGAGAATCTGGCGTTTCTGGTAAAACACATTTAGATTTAAAAGTCGATTCAGGATTTAATGAATAATATCGCTTTATTCAAGCTACTCACCTCCCACTTCCACCTGCACTTTCAACTGGACCACGGCCAATCAGAGAGGTCCCGCCCCTGACTATCTCTGATTGGTTTAGTCCACGATGGGGGCATAATGTGTGTCTGTTGTTGACCACATGGAGAGTTGCAGAGATTTTTTTTTTTTTTGTTACCCGAACAGTTGGTCGCAGTGGTGCGACCAATTATTTTTTTAGTCGCACCACTGAAAAATAATAATGGGTTCACAAAAATCTTTGTAAAACATGGTTCCTAATTCTTAGCGACTGCTACCCATAGTGGTTAGCTTCTGAACCACTGTAGCTAACGAGCTAGCCTCTAGCTAGGCAGGGCAAACTGCTGCTATTCAGTCACAGCAGCTTTTTTGACTTTTTCGACTTCTCTATAAAGAGTTGCAGAGGAGAAAAAAATCCCAGAGGCTCACTAACAGTGTATTTGCTTAGAGAACACTGGATTTAAACATGACATAAAATACTGCACTGTAAGATAAACTCATGGCTTATGTCTGTGAAGCATTTCGATTTTTCACATAAGTTTACACCTGAACAGAAAATCTTTGATAACTGTCCCCCCGCCCCAAAGTTAAGCTAATTTTGAGTGTTCTACAGTATATTAGCTACAACAGTGTACTACAGCTGATAAGGATGTTGAACAAACAAGGCACAGAAAAGCCACGCAAACTTGGAAGAGTTGACCTGATTTGTACAAATTGAAATGGCTTGCAGTGGACAGATGCAAGGTCATCGATGTCTACATCCTTGTGCATTAAAGAGGGAGTATGCTGTATTGTAAGAGGGCTGATCAGCCTGTTTCACTAACTCATCTACAGAAGGCAGAGGGTACAACAGATTTAGACTTTTTTTTCAAAATAAAAGTATGACATTATTCTCAAAATCATCAATAGTATTTTTTTTCTTAGTGTAGCCCTAAAACTCCTTCAGAACAACAGTATGAGGGCTGATGGCTTTCATTTTTAACCTGGAGATGACTGCAGCTTACAACACCCACCTTAAAGGCAATCCTCTGCCCCACCTGTGGAGGAGCAGCTAACAGGGGCATGGAGTTGTAGTCCTGCTTGGGTACACTCACAGCTTCCTTCTATAAATGGAGACAGAAAGTCAAGAATGCCTTTTAATTCATTTTACTTGAGAGCAGATATTACATTTAAATTTTAGGCTTCAGATGCAGACAAACCTGCAGGATCACTGACGTGTTGGTCAGTGAATCATTCTGGTAAGACGGCTCTGTGGCTCCATTATAGCTGGACCCAAAGCTGCTACTGTTCCCTCTGCTTGCTCCTCCTCTACCCCCACCCGTAACACTTGCTCCCTGACCACCGCCACATCTGGCTTTCCCTCTGCCGCGACCTTGCCAAGGAGACTGAATACCTATGCCACCTCTGGGCTGCTGCAGCGGCCTTCGTATCACCAGCTGGATCTCGTCTTCACTGTCCGAGTTGGAACCCTTTGCTGCTGTATGAGGTGGCTCGGCTATGCTGGCGGTCTGTTCTGGATTATCGTTTGTAGGCTGCGGGGCTGAAGGAGCCCGACTCGATTCTGAGCTGGCAGCCGTGGTTTTTAAAGGTTTGTTTCTGGGCTGGATTTTCACACTGGCAGCCTCATCAGGAGAAGACTCTGTTTCTGAAGAGGATGACGATGACAGTGGAGGTTTTTTGGGGGCAGGTTTTGTGTTTGATGGGACCTTGGAGGGAGCAGGAGTGGAGGTGGGTGTTTTTGTTGTTTTTTTGGGTACGACATCTTCATCACTGCTGCTACTACTGGAATCTGAAGAGGAGGCTTTTTGTGGTTTTGATGCTTGGAGCTTCTTGGTGCTTTTACTCAGCCGGCTGACAGCAGCTGGAATCTTCGGGAGATCAGCTGGTTTGGGAGAAGCAGGAGCACCTTTTTCCTTTGGCTTCTTTTTCTTCTTCTCTTTCTTCTCTGTGGGGTTTCCCTGTACATTCTCATTCTGGTCATCACTTGCCACTAGGTTGGCACCGTCTGTCATTCTGTCCTCGTTATTTTTCTTCCTCTTTTTCTTCTTCCATTCGACACTCACTCCATTTTCTTCTGGCACAGTGTCTTCTGTGGCTCGCCGTCTCTTTCTGCCGCTTTCACTTGCTGCATCTGGATGACTGCTGTATCCATTCAACTCATTCATCCAGCCCACCTTCACCCTGACACAAAAACAGAACACATCTTAAAGGAATAGTTGAACATTATACATTATACAATGGATTTATTATGTCAAATTTCCTTGACACAAAGAAAAAAGGTCAGTGGCAAACTATCCAGGGTGTACCCTGCTTCTCACGGACGGACAGATGACCGAAATGAACGTCAAACCTGTTTACTTACCTAGTTAACCCTTACAGGGAAGTTGGAACCTTAAGACACACTCTTAATGACACAGGGCTAACACTGAGAAACAGCAGGCAACCACAAAAGCACATTTAAACCTACACATGATTTAGAATCAGCAGTCTGTCCAACATGCAGATCTCTGTGTTGTGACAGGAAACCCACACAGATCTGAACCCCAGAACCATCTCATTGTCAGATGACAGTGCAGAATACTGAAAAACTGACTGTTGTAAAGCATACAGCATTTGGTTTGTTGTAGCTTTTGAACTAACAAAATGAACACGTGTGAATTTAAATATTGTGTTGCTTATGTTAAGACTTAAACTTAACAAACTTGAGGTGTGTTGGTCATTTGAAGTATGTTACATTGGTGCATGGTTCAAATTAGATTAGTACAGACTCAAGACTCTGGGGTGACAGGAGAATAAATGGTGCCACAAATTTTGGAAAATTAAGTCTACATGAAGTTTGTTTCAAATCCACACTTCACTCAATAGCCCTGTGCCAAATACGCGTATTTAATTTTTGCATACCGTGCCACGATCCAGGTTTTTGTTCATACCACCCAGAGCTAGGCAAGCAAGCAGCGTCCACATGGTACTGAGCTGAGTGTTTAGAGACATGTTGTAACTAAATAACTCGTATTAAATATGCCAGGATCTGTCAGCGCTTTGAAAGTTACAACTAACAAACGCGCGCACCTGACGCTGTCGTTGTCCCGCACCACGTAGATGCTCTCCGTGTGCGGCAGGTAGCAGTCTTCTATGAACAGGCTGAGGATGCTCCCGCCGCTGAATTCAAACTTCTCCCTGATGACGCTCTCCAGGTCGGCCACCACGCGACACACGTTTAGGTCTACGAGCAGCCAGCACATGCGGCAACCGACGACAGCCGGCGGCGGGTAGTCAAAGTACAGGCGCAGTCGGATAAAGTTGTTACCGTGGGCAGCCATGACGGCTACAGCACCAAAACACACCGGCTGCTGTACTCCCTCTGCGAGCTCAAAGACGACACTTCCGCTCTTCAAAATAAGAGTGCAAACTCAAATGTATTTCATTTCCCTATTCAAAGAAAAGATTATTATAGTAATAATAACTCTGTAATGACAGCTATACCCACATCATATCAACTTATCACGTATTCGTTTGTAGTCTCAGACTTTTATTTTAAATTATCACTTTTCAACGGAAGTGAGGCGCACGTGTTTGGCGCTGTCAATACCCTCGTTTACAATATTGACCTCTGCCGGCGTGGAGGAAGTACTGAATTATTACAGAGCTCCATCGCAGCCAAATGATCGAGAAATATTCACCAGGGGCTCTTGTCGTAACTTTAAACTAAGCTCAAACTGAACTGAAAATGACTTGAATAAAAGCTTATCTTCATTCTTCTTGGGATTTTTTGTTAAAGTCCTTAAAACTGACTTTATGACTCATTCAAGCATTAAAAATGCACAGTTGAACCACTGGTCTGTCTACACACAATAGGCAACTTATATCAGCATGGTTATCAGATTTTCCTTAAAAAACGACAAAAAAAACCCCATTACGACCAAAGAAAAAGTGGCAAGCCTAGATGCACTGTCTACATCAGATGACCAGTTTCTGGAATCCATGTCTGCTAGAAATAGGAAAAATCCAGCAAGACCTGGAAAAATAAAAAAAAGAGATATATTAAGACCTTGATCCATCTACTCTTGGCCAAAGTCTTGTCGGAAATGGTCTGAATGAAAAGGTCGCTGTAAACAAGCCATTCCTAAGGAAGGGTAAGGCTGCAGTATGTCATAGTACACCAAAACTGGATTGAAAATGAGGGGAAACAAGTCAAATCTAAAATGGTTCTAGCTATTATCAGCGTGTATGTCTCTGTAGGACACAGTAGGAGAGTCACTTTTATCCCAATACAGCAGTTCTGCACCTAAACTCTGAGCCTTTCCTGCCTCCTTGCCGTTTCTTTTATAACTGAACTGCTCACTTTGTCTGAACTGTGCGCATTTATATTGATGCTTTATGTCTGTCTTACGAGGTGCAGTGCTCTCTGTGCCTGTTTTAACTGTTAATTGCCCCTTGGGGATAAATGAAGTGTTTCTGGGATTTGAAATGAATGTTAGATCAAACTCATCGTCTTTTCTTCTTTTCTTTTGATGTTCATTGAGGTTTTTCAGACTTTACTCCTTTCAGTGCTCTGAGGTTATTCCAACTTTACTTTGTGACGCAATATTTAAAAAAACGTGTCGGTCAGCTGACCACGGGTTTGGTCATGTGACTTCTCGTTGCAGTTGAAATTATGCGGAGCCTTTACAGCTAGACACTTTAACGATGGGTTCCTTCCGAGTAGACTTTACTTTGTGTTTCTTACTCAGCGTTGTGCTGTCTAAAGGTAAGATATCTGCACTGTGGACGAGGCTCTTACAGACTTCTTCTCGGTTTATTTTACCTCCCACTTTGACTTCAAAACGAAAGTAACGTTTTGATCGCTCATCACAGACTGGTTTATTGTTTCTGGTAGAATGACGATGTAACACTGTCACACTGTAACCGAACACCAAGTTAACAACGTGGATGTGATTGAATTCTGCGCAGGGCTCCCCTCTGCTCTGCGGAGCAAAGAAGCCTGGAACTATGTGGAGGTGAGAGACGGGGCCCACATGTTTTGGTGGCTCTATTATGCTGACAGTGTACAAGCCCAGTACAAGGACCTGCCTCTGGTCATGTGGCTGCAGGTAGGACTTCATGATTTTTGTTTTCCACCTTAACTGGGCTTCCAGCGATGTCAGCATTTCAATCAAACTCCCGATTCGTCCCATTTACGAACATTTTACGCGTGTTTAGTCGCTTAGTATCAGTCCCATTACGTTTAGACCAAATAAATTGTCAATGAGATTTTCTTTTTACACGAATAAATAAATAACATATATAGGAATTTAAACTTTGAATTCCTAACTTTGCCTGCAACTTCCCCCACGACCTTATGCTGACAGCTTAAAAAGTTATTTTTCATTTAGGCAGTAGGCTGTCTACAGTCTGCACCTACAATACCTGCACTGTCTGTAGGGTATCATATATTTTTGTAGTTCATTCAAGTTGAAGCATGCAGAGTTTTTTTGTACTGGACACAGAGAGTGATCCATCCCCAGACACTCAAGCGTTGTCTGTATGTTTCTGAGGGGGAACAAAAGTCCACAAGACTAATAATGCTTCAAGTATTTATGTCTTATTTAGTGATTCTAATCCCATATCAACTGTCTGTCTTGCCCGTTGTATGCAAATTCTGATTGAATAAATAATAAAGTCCACAGGAAGCTAAGAAATCCCCTGAAGCTGTTCACTGAGCATCATTAATCGCTTAACAATCAGGTCTGTGACAAATCGAGCACATGCATGGTTGCATTCTCAAACATGTGCAACATCATGCTACCATTCCATCTTCCTGTACAGTGATGTCTGCAGGAAGTTGTGATGTTCAGAGATTGTGTCCCCGTCTGATCAAATGATCAGGCCTTTGGTTAAAAATGGAATGGGGCTCAGACTGAGAGGTGGTAAGAGTGAGTAATGGCAGTGTTGTTTTTATTCCTAACTACAAAAGAGGAACAATTATGGTCTAATTTTAAACTTTCCACTTTATGACCTTGTATTGCATTATTTTTCTGATCCCACCCCATTTAATACGAATGTGGCTTGTGCTGAGTTAAATGGCAAATATAACTCTGTGTGTGTGTGTGTGTGTGTGTGTGTGTGTGTGTGTGTGTGTGTGTGTGTGTGTGTGTGTGTGTGTGTGTGTGTGTGTGTGTGT